CTCCATCCCCACCCTGAGAGCTCTGGGATGGCTCCAGCTCCTCCCTGGCAGGGACACAAAGCCCCTCAGGCCCATGGCACCAAGGCCAGCCCTGAGCAAGCCCCCAGCCCAGCAGCCCCTGCAGGTTCCCCTGCCCTCCAGGCAGCCTCCATGGCACCACACCCGCCCCTTGCTGCCCTCCCAGCCCGGAGGAAGCCCTGCAGAGCTGCTCTCCTTCCTTCCAGCTGCTGTTTTCCTGCAGCACTCGAGTGCCGCTGGCAATCAAGAGCTCAGAGCGTGGGGAGGGAGAGCAGAGTCGTGGTGTGCAGTGCCATGTTCCTGTGGCACCCCTCTGCCAGCTTCTGGGGCACCATGGCACCCCTGCCAGCTTCCAGGACCCCATGTTCCTATGGCACCCCCTGCCAGGGACAGAACTGAGTCCTGGATTTCGCTGCCAGGACCTTGGGCACATCTCCCACACCCCAGGAACTGAAATGACCCCTGGATTTCCCTGTGAGGATCTTGGGCACATCTCCCACACATCAGGGACAGAAGTGACCCCTGGATTTCCCTGTGAGCACATCTCCCACACCCTAGAGACAGAACTGATCCCTGCATGTCCCTGCCAGGACCTCGGGCACATCTCCCACACCCCAGGGACAAAACTGACCCTGGATTTCCCTGCCAGGACCTTGAGCACATCTCCCACACCTCAGTGACAGAACCAACCCCTGAATTTCCCTGTGAGCACATCTCCCACGCTCCAGGGACAGAACTGACCCCTGCATGTCCCTGCCAGGACCTCGGGCACACCTCCCATGCCCAGGTGAGTGCCAGGGTGAGGGGGCACGGCCGGGGTGGGCACACACCCCCAGGGTCACTCCCTGCTGCCCTCCAGAGCAGCTGCTCTGCTCCTGCCAGCCCCAAAGCACAGCAACAAATCTGGCACCTGCCCTCACTTCCCCTTCAGAGGAGGGGAGGAAAAAAAAGAGAAAGAAAAGAAAGGAAGAGGAGGAGGAGGAGGGGGGAGCGAGGAGATTTGGCAGCCGGCAGTTCTGGGAAGGATTTAGCTGTCTCCCGGGGCCGGCAGTGATGGATTCTCTTCCCTAATGCACTGATGGGCAGCAGCTCCTTGGGGAGAGCTGCCTCCAATTCACTCGCACTCGTTAATGTGCAATTTACTGGCACTTTAACGCTCTCAGCATGAAAAACGATCGCGCTGTTTGCAGCCCCCCCCCAGCCACCAGCACCGGCGTCGCCTCCCCTCCGGCTCTCGGTGAGCGAGTCCAAGGCCAGGCACATTCGGGGAGGTGCTTTTAGAGAGAGATACAGGCCCCTTTCCACGCCAAAAACAAAGCAACAATAATAAAAAAATATAAATTAACGTCTCCTGCTCGTTCTTGTTTTGATCCTCTCCTGCCAAGGCTGGGGCTGCTTGCAGAGCTGCAGCAGCACTGCCAGACCCCAGCCCCATTTCCCCCAGAGAAAACCCCAAATCCTGGCTTTGGTGATGAGCAGCTGGGGACAGGGGGTACAGCAAGGACAGAGGTACAGCACAGCATGGCCTCAGCTTCATTTCCCCCAAAAAACCCAGAGCAAAACCCCAAACCTTGGACCTTGGTGGGTGAGCACATGGGGACAGGGGGCACAGCAGGGACAGAGGCACAGCACATCATGGCCTCAGCCCCATTTCTCCCCCAAAAAACTCAGAGAAAACCTCACATCTCAGCCCCATTTTCCCCCATTTCCCCCAGGGCAAAACTCCACGCCTCAGTCCCATTTCCCCCCACACAAACCCAGAGAAAACCCCACACTTGGCCCTTGGTGATGAACACCAGGGGACAGGGGGCACAGCAGGGACAGAGGCACAGCACAGCATGGCCTCAACCCCATTTCCCCCCAGAAAAACCCAGAACAAAACCCTACACCTCAGTCCCATTTCCCAGTGGGGTCTCAGCCCCATTTCCCCCCATCCAAAGCCAGAGAAAACCCCACACCTCAGCCCCATTTTCCCCCAAAAAAACCCAGAGAAAACCCCACACCTGGCCCTTGGTGATGAACAACAGGGGACAGGGGGCACAGCAGGGACAGAGGCACAGCACAGCATGGCCTCAGCCCCATTTCCCCCAGAGAAAACCCCACACCTCAGCCCCATTTCCCAATGGGGCCTCAGTCCCATTTCCCCCTAAACAAACCCAGAGAAAATCCCACATCTTGGTCCTTGGTGATGAGCACCTGGGGACACTGAGCATAGCAAAGACAGAGACCACACCACAGCCAGCCCCCAGCCCAATTTCTCCCCAAAAAACCCCAGACCAAATTCCCAAACCTCAGACCCATTTCACCCCCAAAAAACCCACAACAAAACTCCACACCAAAGCCCCATTTCCCAATGGAGCCTCAGCCCCATTTCCCCCCAAACAAACCCAGAACAAAACCCCACATCTTGGCCCTTGGTGATGAGCACCTGTGGACATAGGACACAGCAAGGCCAGAGGCACAGCACAGCCAGCCCCCAACCCCATTTCCCCCCAAAAAGACCCCACACCTCAGCCCCATTTCCCAATGAGGTCTCAGTCCCATTTCCCCCCAAACAAACCCAGAGAAAACCCCACATCCTGCTCCTTGGTGATGAACACCTGGGGACAGGGGGCACAGCAGGGACAGACACCACACTACAGCCAGCCCTCAGCCCCATTTCCCCCAGAGAAAACCCCACACCTCAGACCCATTTCCCCCCAAACAAACCCAGAGCAAAACCCCACACCTCAGACCCATTTCGCAACAGAGTCTCAGCCCCATTTCCCCCCATACAAAGCCAGAGAAAACCCCACAGTCTAGCACCTGGGGACACTGAGCATAGTAAAGACAGAGACCACACCACAGCCAACCCCCAGCCCAATTTCTCCCCAAAAAACCCCAGACCAAATCCCCAAACCTCAGCCCCATTTCCCCCAGAGAAAACCCCACACTTGGCCCTTGATGAGCACCTGGGGACACTGAGCATAGCAAGGACAGAGGCCAAACCACAGCACGGCCTCAGCCCGTGGCCATGGGGGCTCTGGGGCAGGCAGGACCCGCCTGTGCCCGTGAGCAGGGCAGGATTTGGGGCAAGGGGAGGAGGGACAGAGCCCCCAGGGCAGCGCTGAGCCGTTCCCGTTCTGCTCTCACACAATGGCCGCTGGCTGTCAGAGCAGACTCAGGGCCCTTGTTAAAAGTGCCGACAGCTCCCTGGCCGGCGGCCAGCGGCACCTGGGGCTGGCAGCAAACACAGCCTGAGAGCGCCGGGAGGGAACAGCAGCCAGAGGAGAGCAGCTCGCAGCTCTGCAGGGCCGGGCAGACCCTGGGCACGCTGCCCCAAGCCCCACGATGGAAACACCACGGAGCCAGCACAGGGCTGAGAGGAGGGGGTTGAACCCAGAGCCCCTTATCAGCCTCCAGAGGATACCAAAGGCTGAAGGGTCTCAGGGAGAGAAATTGCCCCAGAACTGTCCCAGAGACAGAACTGATCCCAGAACTGTCCCAGAGACAGAAATGACCCCAGAACTGCCCCAGAGACAGAACCGACCCCAGAACTGTCCCAGAGACAGAACTGATCCCAGAACTGTCCCAGAGACAGAACCAACCACAGAGAGACAGAACCAACCCCAGAACTGTGCCAGGGACAGAACCAACCACAGAGAGACAGAACCAACCCCAGAACTGTGCCAGGGACAGAACCGACCCCAGAACTGTGCCAGGGACAGAACTGACACCAGAACGATCCCAGAGACCCCCAGAACTGCCCCAGAGACAGAACCAACCCCAGAGAGACAGAATCAACCCCAGAACTGTCCCAGGGACAGAACCGACCCCAGAACTGCCCTCACAAGAAAAGCACCAGCAGGGATGCCAGGGCAAGGAGGGCATCCCAGACGGGCAGAACACCCTCCCAGCGGGCACAGAGCTGGCAGGGGGGGCTGACATCCCGCCCTGGCACGGGGACAGGGCCAGCTCTGCCCTCCCGTGCAACAGTTGGCGTCGGCGGGCGCGGGGCGGGCAGGAAGGCGGCGGCGCCTCCTCGCCAGGCTCCTCCGCAGCCTCTTTAAAAATAGATGAGGAGAAACCTTCTGTCTCAGAGCAGCTGGTGTGACCCGGAGCTCGGCTCAGGGGAGGAAGGGAGGGAGGGAGGGAGCTGAGGAAGAGAGGGAGGGGAAGCAGCGAGGGAGGATGCGCAGCGCCGAGCCCCCGGAGAGCCCACCCTGCACCCAGCCCCAAAACAAACCCTCCTTTCTCCTCAGAATGCTCCTGGGCCACTTGTAAAGGTGTTAATGCAGAGCCCCTCAGCCTGTTCTGACCCTGCAGTCTCCCTTGTCCTGAGGAATAAACCAATATCTCCTTCACAACACTCACAACCGGTGTGAGCGGCCATGCAAACACAAATCCTCCATCACCCCTCCATGCCTGACACAACAACAGCACCACAGCCCAGGCAGGGCACCCTGAACCCAAAACCAGAGCACAGAGCTGTGTGGGGACCTCAGGAGGCACCACAGCCCAGGCAAGGCCACCCTGAACCCAAAACCAGAGCACAGAGCTGTGTGGGGACCTCAGGAGGCACCACAGCCCAGGCAGGGCACCCTGAACCCAAAACCAGAGCACAGAGCTGTGTGGGGACCTCAGGAGGCACCACAGCCCAGGCAGGGCACCCTGAACCCAAAACCAGAGCACAGAGCTGTGTGGGGACCTCAGGAGGCAGCCAAGGCCATGGCACAGGGACAAGGACACATCCCCTACAAACACTGAGTTTCCTGGGCTGCAGCAGGGAGCAGCTTCCCCTGGGGACCACAGGTGGCAAAATGGGGTTGGGGAGCTGGGAAAAAGGAGGTGGAGAGAGCTCCAAACCCAGGCACGCTCACCTGTTTGTGCATCTCGATGTTCAGGCCATAGGACATCTCGTAGTACTGTGAGGGAGAGAAATCAGCACCAGCTCAGCTCTGGAGGCCAGGGGAGCTCCCAAAGCACAAAATCCTCTGTGCTGCTGGCACAGCAGCTCAGCCTGGCCACAAACAGGCGTGGTGTGGCCAGGCCATGGGGACAGCAGGGTCCCTAGATCCTTTCCCAGGAGCAGAGGTGGCTTTGGCACAGCAGAGGGGTCTCTGGCACACCAGAGGTGGCTCTGGCACACCAGAGGTGGACCTGGCACACTTCTGCAGCCCACAGGATGGACACAGCCCCTCCCAGGACTCCTCCAGAAATTGGGACAACCCAGACAGGAGCAGATTTGCCACCACAAGCTGAATGTCCCGCTCCAACACCATGGATCTTTTTGGGGGAAAACCAGACAGGAACAGCCACAAAACCAAATCTCAGGGCCTGGCCACACAACCCAAAAGCAAAGGGAAGGCAAAGCATCCCTGCATGTCCTTTGATGGTTCAGAGGAGATCCCACACCACCCTTCTCCTTTCAGGTGGAGCTCACTAACCATGACATAATGACGCTGGATTTCTGTTTTTTCTGTTGCCAGCTTTTCACATTCTAACTTCAAGCTGTGAAAATAAAGAGGAGAGAGAGAGAGGGAGAAGGAGCAACCCCCCCTTGGTCCTCCCAAGTGAGAGGATGGACAGAGCAGGAGCCCTCCCAGTGCTTCAGCCTCCTCTCAGCCCCAATCCCAAATCCCAGCACAAGGCAAGAAAAACCACCTGAAGGAGGGCAGGAAGGGGCTGATGAAGAGGAGCTGGACACCAAAGGGATCTGGGCATCAGGGAGCAATTTGCACGGACTCCTCACCCCCTCCCCAGCATCTGCTTCCCAAATGGAGCGAGCTGCAAAGCTCAGCTGCATTTAAACCTGGAGTGTGGGGATGGGGAGGTGATGCTGGGCAGCCTCAGGGATCAGAGGGACTCCAGGTCCCAGAGATGGCTCTGGCTCAGCCCAGGAGCTGCTGCTGGAAGCCAGCACCTCCTCCTGGGGCTTTTGGCAGGCAAAGGTTGAATTTCCCCCCTCAAACAGAGTCATTTCAAGCTACCAAGGTGATGCTTGGCACAGCCATGCTCTGGAGGGACCAGTCCACCCTGGATGGTGCTGCCCAGTGCCAGGAGGAGCCAGCACCACTGAAGTGCCCAGCTCACACAGGTGAGCCCTGGCAGCTTCTCACCTGTGGTATTGGTTCTGCAGGAACTGGAATTCCTCCTTGATGCGATCCAAGGTCTCTGGGTAAGTCAGCTTGAGGGACTGGGGGGTGCTGGGGATGGCACTGGCAGCAACAGCGGCTCCTGAGGCAGCAGAGGGTGCCTGGAGATGGGCCTGGGCAGAGATGGCACCTCCAGGGTCACCTCCTGCTGCTGCCCAGCAAGGCTGGCACATCCCCAGGGCATCCCTGCACCCCAGGGCACATCCCACATGCAGGAGGGTGCACAAGGAGTTACGGGAGAGGAAACTGCTCCCAACCAGGCACCAAGGGCTTCACCAGCACTGGTGTGACACGGAGCCAGAAGGGATTAATGACCACGGGTGGCACCGGGCATGGCACAGACCGGGCATGGCACAGACCACCACACGCCGAGCTGCGTGCCACCCGTCCCACCATCCATCATAGCCCGGTGAATCCCGCTCCGGGCACCCCACAAACCCAGACCGGCTTGGGGAAGAGCCC